TCCAAAGTTTATTATGTTTTCTGTTGGAGGTATCAAATGGAGCATAGGGAGAGTGAATTGCCTGAGATATCACTTGTGAAATAAGAGCGATGGATGAACAAGCTGATCGCCATCAATTCCACTGCTGCATGGGTTAATACCAAGAAGCTTTAGATGGTTTATCAGAAATTTATAAATCGCCTTAGACGAAATTTCCTCAGTCGGTCAAAGCCCCATATATGCAAGACACAAATAGTGCAAATCAAATCGTTGCACTGTACCACTGTTAAATCAGATTACCTTCTTTAGCTTCATGATTAACGTATGTTGATAATGAGATCAGTTGATTATCGAAATGCGGGCCTAAGAATCCATAATGTTACTGTCTGGAAATTTTTAAGCAAATCAGTCAATGACTGTGTCTGAAACGGCACAAACATTCCCCCCATTCATCCCTCTATGATTCTGTCGTATCATTGCATTATGAATGGATACCGTTTGATGATCTTTTAACAAATAGTATGTCGCTTGTAAAAATCCAACTATTTTATTACGCACACTTTCGGGGAACAACAGAAGCGATGAGCCTCTTAGTTAGGAAAACCCTCCGTTCCCTCACGCAAACCGACAAACTTAGCCCCGGAATTTAGAACTGTGAAATACGTAAAATAGGCTAACCATTGAGCCGTATGTCAGTGAAGCTGCATAACACAGGAGTTGGTTTGCAGGTGTCGGGGTTGTAACCCCGATCCCTAGGACCAAAAGCATCTCGACAATATCAACTTTACCTGATTAAATCTCCATAAGAATGTTAAGACTAAGCCCAAGGAATGAAACAGCAATTTCAGTTGACAATATTCGAACCCTATTAGAAGGTCTTTTTCAAGACCATTACCAAGCGAACATTAAACAAACTTGGGAGAAACAGTGACCAATCCACACATTCCTATATCGTGAAATTTAACTTACTGACTACAAGAAAAACATGAAAATCTGAGGGTACCTATGACTCATTCAATGGAGCAATGAGTTATTGCTTAAAGCAACCGAAACGATAATATTTTTCACGTGCTGTTCAAAATTATCCCATACCTGTTTGGAAAGCCAAATATGGACTTACGGAGTGTAATGGAATATAGCGAATCGTGGTGTAAGATATCGTGTTCAGGCAAAAAATATGTGGTCCCCGTTGATGGTGAATTAACACATGTATGAACTTATAATATCATATGAAAATTATATATGATACATTAACCAAAACGCGAAGAGCAATTTTCACGGAGTTTTTCAAAGGGATCATATGTATTAGCGAAAATGCGAACTGTTAGCAATGACGTAATAATGAGAAAACCTCATAAAAATATTTGCCATTCAAAACGATGAAGTCTAGCTAATGTGATCATTACCTAAAAAATATTTACTTGCTTGGCAATTCGATGCTAACTTAGCAGTGTAAGATGTGCAATGAAATTACACATCTGTGCATCAACAGCCGAAACGTTTTCTTATGCCCTCAACCCCGTCCGTGTAAAGCACCATATGTGCGAACCTCTGTGTTATTAAACAATAAAAGCAGGAAATGCGTAGAATACTTTTCTTTACAAAAGAAAGGTGATATTGATCGGCCTTCATTGGTTATCTATATACGCAAATCCTCGGATCATCCAGTCAACCATTCACTCAGGACGCACTGAACTCCAGTACCGTTCTCATAAAAACAGCGAAATGGTTCACGGTTATTTCTACATATTTAGTATATCTATGGTATGTTGACCGAATGGATATTACATGAAGTGCATATTAGTTGTAGTTTCTTCAAGCTCCCACGTGCAACCTTATGCTTCATAGCCAGCTGAATTATATATCTTTGCAACTTAAGTTGTTCGAATATCATCGCAAAATTAAGAGTATCAAGCATGGATTAGCCCATTCGGTTGTTCGGAGGCACCAGGCGCTCTTGAATGTCTTCGATGTGGGTTTTACTCCATGAGAGATCGTTAATTCCCCACTATTTCTATTTTCATATCATTTCAAGATGTTCGAGCATCATATCCAAATTTCCGGATATCACTTCTAGCTGTCTCGTTGACCTCATCGGCGCCAACAGCCCCATGTACTGTTCAAGTCTCCCAGCGATATCTGGATGACCACCATGCAGCACATATTTCTGTACCTCTCGTTTAAGCGCGGTGGGATACGATTGTGAGACGTGCCCCGGTCATACACACACCTCAATTCCCATGACATACACATTGGTTGTTTATCTTGCAAGTACGCATATGCGTCTGAGTCTGTGTGTTTGTCCCCCTCTGCTGATACCAGCGAATCATGCGCGAACAACGCTTGCTTACCTCCGTAACATGATGTTGCAATAGAATTCATAAGCTACACCTCACGCGGTTGCACTCGGGACACCAATCGATATACGCATCAGTGTTGACCAGATTCACATCCAGTTTGTTCGACCCTTTCAGATTATAATCCATCTCTGTGACACCACCATAGAACAAGCACCTTCGAGTACTGAACAATTCAAATTACCATTTTGGACATATTTTCGGAGCGGAATGATATATCTCTATCAAATCAACCGCAATAGAAATAACCTAGCGAGGGCTGTTGAAATATGCCATAATTTTCATAGCAGTTGAGGACTTTTATATTAGGTATACATATTGTATATTTATAAAATCCAGCTATCAAATATTATCTCTGTTAAATCCAAATGACCATCCAGGCCTACCTCGTGTGACGAGCAACCTCAGAAACAAGGTCCAAGTGTTCTATATTTTTCAACTTCAAGTGAATCCACGGTAACTTCAAGTGAATCCAACCAATCGCGCTCCATTGCAAACCCCACAAGATTATTGGTGTTTCGGCCGTCAAATATCACCCATTGGACCGGGTCCGTCTAAACCCCGTCCAGTTCAAATGAACTAATTTCTCGGTAAACAAACAAAGTACTTTTTGAGTGAGTTACCGAGCGACGATGGATGTTTCGGTGGTGTGGGGTGGGCCTTCTCCCCCCC